AAGACGATCTCTACTCGCTCTCTGGAAATGGGAAAGAGCCTGTATCTGATAATAAGGCAGCCCCTAGCATGGAATAAAAAGAAATGGCATGAAATAACAAGATGGTTTTCTGAGCAGGATGTGTGCACCTTAATGGAGAAATTTCCAGTCTGTGCTATCGCCCACCTCTGCTGTGTGCTACAACTTGGTGACCCTCTCCCATCGCATACTGGGTAGCCAGAAGCCCAAGTAGTTCAAATTCCTCTCTCTGACAGTGGCTAACAACAGGTGCTTAGGAAACGGGATGAAACCCAAGCAAATGTTGTGCTGGCTGTTCTCGGTGTACCTTCCCTGCTTCTAGGAATCAGCAGTTCAGGAACAGTTTGATCCAGGAGCCGCATCTGTCCCGGTCAGGCTGCCGTGGCGAGTGTGTCCCCAGAGGAATGTGTTACCAGGTGCTTAAACTTGGCTGTCACACTTGTTATTAAACCAGGTGAGCTGAGGACCTCCCAGTAATAAGCAGCAACCTTTCCCCAGGAATGGAGCTGCACTATCTATTATTTACTTTCCCTGTGGGGCCAGTAAATAGCTTTTAGTACTATTGTAAAAGAAATTCAGTTCTTATGATGCCTAAAGCTGGATCCATGTGCCTCTCTTGAGGGTGACGGGAGATGGTAAGTCCTCGTCTCTGAAGAGGGCGTTCAGCCAGCCAGTCCCACCAAGTTTGCTAGGAGTGAAGAGCACTTTTCTCTAGCAAACTGCAATATTTGTGGAGTATAGGAGATGAAGTGCCCTGAGACAGAGTCCTTAATTGGGTCTCTGCTTGTATCAGGTAACAAGAAACACCAACTCAGAAGCAACTCGTGAGATGTCTGAAAAAGAGCAGATAAAATTTAATGGCTTTCTGCAGCAGCACAGTGGGTGACTCAGTGGCAGCCACTCCAGCCCTGCCTCAGCTGCCTGTTTTCAGTTCCTCATTTCAAGGTGTTGTTTACATTAAATTAAAAATAAAACAAAATAAAGAAACCCACCATTTCAGTTCAAAATTTTTGTGCAAGCATTATGCTTTGTCCACTTCTGCGAAGGGGTGAATAAGTCACAAAGAGAAAGCACTTTGCTGATTCACGTCGAGCAGGAATGCCAGCAGCCACTGCTGATCATCCCCACCCAACAAGCAGCTTAGCAGGGAGGGGGCAGAGAGTGACAGGCAAGGCAGCAATACCAATGTTTATTTTTAAAAGCGGTTTTGCACAATAAGATGATGCTGGAATGGAGAAATTAAGAGATGCAGCCTGACTTGTGCAAACTACCTCATGTATATACAGTGGAAAAAAACAAAACTACATTTCTACTACTTCAATGTGACCAGAAGCAACATAGGAAGGAAAACATACAAACCACAAGCAGAACCAAGCAGCTGCATAAAATAAATTTCAGATCATCGAGGTGCCTGAAAGGCATCCACAGCAGGTTTCAAGGCCCCGTGAAGCTTCATTTCAGACTGGATGCAACCACAAAGGGCCATCTATGCAGGCCACACCTGAACCCGGTTTGAAGAACAATTCTGCCCCAAGTCATTTAAACAAAAAGTCCACCAGAGTGAAGGGCTTTGAAGGCAAAAACCTGAAATCGAGATATGACATAATGAGAGATAAGAACTGAGGACTTGTAAATACCTAAGCATGAGAGGAAAAGTAATTAAAAAGCAAAAATACTGAATGTTTTTTGGAGATGACTGCTGTTATTTGGTGTACATGAATGTGAGGCCAATGAGAAAAATTGTTTTGTTAAGCTCATCTAATTCAGAGACAATAGATATATCCTGAGGCCTTTCAAATGTCTGAGGACTCAAACAAGTACAAATTTTCAACACAGTACTTAAGAACAGCAACAAGTGCCTTGTGACAGGGAAACTACGGTGAACCCTAGTGCTCAACCTGTGACAGAGGAGTTCAGAACAGCACCTGGGTTGGTGGGATGCCCGTGTTTGTAGGTATTACCTTTCCAGCATCCACTTCCACACCAGATGAACTCAGTCATGTTGTTTCAGATATTCTGGACTCCAAAAAGACAAAAATGTTATTATTTGTAATTATATACATTTAGCTATCCCCTGGGACCACAGGAGACTCAGACCAAACGCTACAGAGTGTGGATGGAGCCAGTTGTCTCTGGGAAAAGATGGGGGTGAAGAGAAAAGCCTTTCTGCTCTGTTTGGGCTTCAGGTCAGGACCACGTGCTAGGGGAGATGCCATTAGTAAACAGTCAGAGACCAGAGATGCCATTTTTTGGCTTTAAGCCCTGAAAATTAGTGATGATCTGCACCGAATGAAAATTAGCAAATTAGCGACATGAAACTGGCACAGGTTGAAACTCTGGGTTGGATGATGGCAATTAGTAGGCTGTCATTATCACTTTTTACAAAAGAAAGTTACTTCAAAAATGTGTGGATTTTTTTTTTTTCACAATTTTTCCCTAGCATGTTTTCTTTCATCCTCGTATTTAAATCTTCATTACTACTCTTTGTTGTCAGGGCTTGCATTCAAGCTTCATCGGTCACCTATGCTATAATAAACACAAAATGAACAGTTGCACCTAAAACCCTGCACGCCTCTGCAGAATTACACAGTTTATTCCCTTCTCCTTTTTTTTGCAGTCGTAGTATTTGGAGAACCTCTGTCATGTATCTCCATTTGCCATGCTAGCAAGCAAGATGCAAGGCATGCAAGGTTTCTGCAGAGCTGGGCTTCTGTAAAACTGACTGTGCAGAAAGTGTGCTTTTTTCTTCCCTCTTTGATTTCTTTTTTTAATTTGTGCTAAACATTGTTACCAAGACGGTCTTGAAAACATGAGCTGAATACTACCAGATAGAGTACTTTTTACTGTCATTGTGTAATCCACTAATGATATGTAGAAGGTTAAGGTTCTCCGTGAACTCAGGTAACTGTTAACATGGAAAATTAAAGTCACCTCAATTTAAAGAAGTACTTAATATCTTAGAAGGCAATTAAAGTCACATTTTACATGGCAGTACTATTTATTAAATCACTACTAATTCTTTGAGAAAAAAAAAAAAAAAGTTTAACAAATGAAACAACCCAAATACCTCCAAATTAATTTTCATTGGAAGAACTCACTAGAAAAAAAATGCATTTACAGAATTATTGATTTTTGTAAATATACAGATTTTTTTTTCATAAACAAAACTATCTGGGAATGTAATCACAGCAATTGCTGAATGCTGAGATCTTGCCACATTAATCATGCACAATTTTTTGAAGTGCAGGACACTTTCTTTTAAGATTTCTAATGCTGACTGTCTTTGCCCTTTGACCAGTGCTGGTGTGATCTCTTAAAAGGCTCCTAATGTTCTGAACTTTGAATTTCATTACATACCTCCCCTGTAACATATTTCTGCCTGCAAGGAGAATGGTTCAAAACCTTCCAGCAGTTTTTTTCTGTGCCCTGACAAGCGAGGTACCACCTTTAAAGATCAGTAATCTGTTTCTTTTTTAAGGTTGTTTGACTGAAAGCTTAGCAAGTGCCCCCAGAGAGGTGACCTCCGCAATGAATGCACACACACACTTCTTCAATTCTTCATGCACTGAGGATGTCAGTAAACAAATGATGTACACTTCAGAGCAACAGATACCACATGCCTGTGACCTTCGGGAAGACTGTTCACCTGCATATCACTCAAATTTGGGCCAAATTTTGACTGCTGGTGACTGGGGAGAGCAGCAGCTGCTTCGCCATGTATTGTGCTGTTTGAAAATGCCTGTCTTCAGAGGATAAACACCACCCAACCAAGTGTGACCGTAAAGGTTTAAAATCACACCTGCTGCATTTACGAACGACTTGCTGGACCTAGCAAGAAACCTAATGGGGCTCTGGCATCCTTCTGTGTAAACAACACAAAGCTTCCGTGGACTTAAAATCCCTTCTTCACCCCATCCAAAGAAATGTTAACCACTGCCTGAGTGACCCGATCAGCCCCGCTCATCTTGCAGCTTATTTGCATATAACCCTCAAGTGATCACTTTTGCTTTATCTCATGACAAACAAAATATTGTCACAGGACCAAAAGGACTTTGGACCTGGATGGGCAGAGGAGGACAACGCTCTCTGGAGTTGATCTCAGGCCACAGCCCTACTTCTTTAGAATCGCTGTGTCTGTGAGCAAGCCTACATGTGAGACCAAACCATCCGAAATAAATGATCGAGGCACGGAGCTCATACTTTGGGGTGATCCTGCACTAAGAGATGTGACAGCTCACCGCTGCCCCAAAATTTGGGGCTGACTGGCATGTCACATGCCAGTGAAACACATTCAGGCTTTGAGGTCTTATGACCCATGCCGCTGTTTTCAAATAGGTTTATGAAGGAACTGAAAACTCATGAGGTAATGTTTATGTTTTAAGAGATGCTTCTTGTTTTAAGAGAAAAGCTGCATCAGGGAACCTTCCAAGTTTTGACATGTTTTTAGCAAATATGTCTTTCTGCAACATTTGTCATCGATAATCACAGAATTGTAAGGGTTGGAAGGGACCTCGAGAGATCATCAGGACCAACCCCCCAAAGTATTTAAGCCTGAAAGGAGGTCCTTTGGGCTTCAGTTTTGCAACTATGTCTCCTGTCCTTGTCCACACCAGCGTGCTCCAGACTTGGAAGGTGCAAATAGTTCCCATCTAACCAGCAGCACCACAGCTCCGCAGACAGCACCCCCGACACCCAACTGCTGGGAAAACGCGGTGTATGCACCAGAGACGGACCAGTGGCCACCAAACACTGCTGGCACACACCATAACAAGCCAAAAGCGTGACAGGGGAGTACCCAAGCAGTTTGGGCTCAGCCCACCAGTGGAGGCTGCGAGCGGGGGCAGCGCTGGAGCCCCCTCAGCCACCACCGGCTGCAGCGGTGCCGCCTCAGCCAACCCCGAAATGGCGGCGCCGCCTCCGCCCGCCTTCCTCGTCCCGGCGACAGGGGCGGGAGCGGGGCTGGCGTCCCCAGCGAGGACACTCCTCCGGCGGAGGGACGAGTCCTCCCCTCCCGGCCCGCCTCTCGGTGTCGGGCAGGGCCGGCACAGCGGGCCGAGGGGCCGGGGGGCAGCGGCAGAGGGCAGGGGGCGGCCGGCTGAGGGGAGCCGCCGAGCCGGGAGGCAGCCGGGGCGGGCAGGTGCAGCGGCGGCAGGCTGAGGGGTTCCTGAAGGGAGATTAATTAAAATTACCGCGTGCTGCTCGAGGTGGGTGTTTTGTGGGTGTTTTATGGGGTGAAGTTCGGACTTGTGCCCTTTCGGGGTGGCTGGCACACGCTGGAGCTGAGCCTGCAGGTATGACAGTCGTTTTGCTTTCTTTCGGTGAATGCTCATGACCTTTTTTATTTTTTTTCCTATTTTTTTTTCCTCTGGTGCACAGGTTTAAAAGCCGAATCCCGAAATGAGGAAGTTTTTTTTCGTGGAGCCGGTCATTTTCGTCTACATGTTTGCTTCCTACTTGACCAGCCCGGTGGTGCAGCAGTTTATTTACCGGCGGCTGTGGGAGGAGGAGTACAATTCCACTTTCATTAGCAGCAGCAATACCAGTTCCTGTGAGCAAAACAAAAGTAGCCCGGCTTATATCAAGCAGAAGGTAAGAGTGAGGAAAAAATACAGCTGTAAGTATACGAAATGAAACTTTCAGCCAATAGGCGCTGCCTCAACATAACCTCCGTGTCTATAACCTTATTTAACCTTGTATGTGTAGAAAAGCCATAGATTTGCAAACTGCTATCGTTTTACTGTCTCCTTGCTCTTGTGTTGCACTGTACATAGTTGTCATGCTTTGAAGACTATGAATTATGTCCAGGAAGACACAGATAAATTCATCTCTTAGTGGTTGAAAAACATCTTAGAGGATCAGGCCCAAGCTGGGACTGGCCTTGCTTGTCAAAGTACACAACTGAAGGCTCCCCTTCCAGTAACTCCAGTAACAGCTGTGCAAGTGTTTATGCACCAGTGGTAGTGACTGCGACTTCTAGTCTTCTAGATAAGTATGTAGTTTACCAATCATCCCATAATTTTCAGGAATAAGGTCCAGTTTACAATGTATGTATATCAGAAGAATTCAAAGAATGAAAGGATAGGGGCCAATTTTTTTTTTTTTCTACTTTTAAAATGTGAAAAATGACTCCGCTAATCTTTGCACAAACAAATACAGTTGATGTTTAACCAGTCAGAAAATCACTTGTCTGCCTTGTTGAAATACTAAGATGGCACAATGACAGCATCTTATGGTCAATTACATATTTAGCACGTTTTCATGGTCTAGCATGCTGGATAACCAGATGTTGATTGGGATCTCTGCTGTGGTAATTCAGTGCAGTTTTAATGCTAAATGTAAGGGCTGAGGGCTGTCAACAGAAGAGGTGATCATACTGCACTTTTCCTTTCCTTTCTTTCCTGTTCTCCCTTCTTCACTAGATACCTTCTAGAGATCTTCTTCACTAGATACATGTTGTATCTAGTAATTATTACAGTTAGAGGTTACAGTTAGAGGTTACAGCTTCAGTTGGATCAGAGTGCTAGCTCAACAGAAGGCTCATCATTTTTCGAGTTCATGTTTGTTTTTCTGAAGCAACAAATTGCGCTGACACACTCTATAGCCACATGATTGCAGAATCTAGCACGGGGATGACAGAGGGAACGTGTTTACAGAAGGATACAGCAGAATTGTCCTTGGCAACAACAGCTGGGACTTAGACTGGATTAAGTGGAACATGAAACTACATAGTAGAGTCAGAAAAGTAGGTGGCTTGGACTGTAAATTACACAGAATATGGAGTTAAATTACACAGAAAATGAAGTTTATGGAAGCTATCAGCCAGTATTCTATGCTGCTGAAAGGGTTTGCTGCAGTGTCACAGGTGGCACTAGAAAATTTTAGTCACATCTGAGATTTGAATCTGATGTGCTGCGTATGCACAGGACTGAACACCTGAGCTTGTCAACCTCATTTGTCATATATAAAAGAAAATTTCAAATAGTACATGCTTCCATTGAAGGTAATTAAATAAATAGTTCAGAATTTTTAGCACGGAGTTGGTTCTTTCTCAGGTGACACAAATAGAAACAATTTAAAAATAAAAAGGTGAATAGAATTCCAGTCCAGCAAGCATTCTGGGCTGCCTGATCAGCCAAGGGAGGTAATATATGCCACTCATTAGAACTGATTTGGAGATAATAACCAATGATTGGCTCCATAATGCTTGTATGTTCCTCCCCCAAAGTGTTTTTCTTTAGTGTCGTCTCCTCATTTGGTGCTGTATGTGGGCATTTTGTCATACGGTGTTGTGTCAGTGCAAAGGGCAACTATAAGAATTATACGTGGTGCTTGCAATTGCAGTCACAGATCCCATCAAGAAACCTACATTTCACAGACATTTCTGCGCTTTGCATTTGCAAGTACACCCTAGATTCAGCCTGATCTTCTAATTGTGATCACAGATGTTTCAGGATATAAAACTTGATTTCTGTTTTGGCAAAACACTGAAGCAGAATGCTTAGTTTCACATGAATTTTAGATGATGTCTCTGATTGATATGACAGTGAATTTACAAATTACACTATTTGGGGCCTAAAGGAAACAAAGTGTGTTTTCTGTAAACAAAGGAAACGATACTTGAAAATAAAAGTCCTTAAGGATGGTAGTTGAGTAATGGCCAATAGAACTTCTTTGTTTCCCTTTCCTGACAAATTTCCATTCCCTTCATTTATGCGATTGTCCACAGGCCATGAATTATTGAACAGTCACGCTCTTGTCTGGATGACTAGCCTGTATTTTTGTACCATACTTGTTAGCACAGTATGTGAATATAAAACTCTCAAAACAGCCATTAATTTCAGCAGAACCTGGTGTCTGTGCTGAGCAATAATCCCATGTATGGTGAAAAGGGTAGATCCAGTAATGCAGTCCCATGGCCTTTGCCGATGATATAAGTAGGTGTTTCGGATTTTCCAAGATCCTTCTAACTGAATTATATATAAACACAGTAAATTTTACTGTTGGGAATGTTTGGTGTTAACTTTTAGAGGGACAACTCTTTTATCAGTTGGTTTAGTTTAAGTCCTTCAGTTTTGAGAATGGAGAAGCTTTTTACTAATCTCGTCTGTTTCAAAACAGAATGTAAAAAGAAATTGAAGTCAAAATCACTTGAAGCCTGCAAAGAAAGTACACTGTAGTTCAAGATAGATAGTCTTGGCAGTTTTTAGATTGATTATTTTTTTGGATCTGAAGGAACCATAGTAATTTTTATAATAAATGAAAAGTAATTAAACTACAAGCTGGAACATTCTAATCACTGGCTTGAATAATCATTTTTCTATCTCAGGAAGAGCTGTACTATTAATTAAATATTGTTTATCACTTAGAACATGTGTTTTCCGTTGTCACTCACTAATATTTTTTAATTTAATGAGCCTGTCTATTTATCTTATCCTGTACATTGTAGCTTCAGGCAAAACACTTCTCCCGTAATTTAATTCTTATATAAGTGAATCATTTCTTCATTTTCTTGCTTTTAATTTGGAAATCTGTATTTTTGAGAATTACTTCTATGCAGCGTGAACATTTTCTTTTCAGAGTAGAGTAAATTTACAGATTAGAAAAACTAGACCTTTGATTATTTTTTTTTAGTTACATTGACTTTAATAGTTACAGGATTGTAAAGGAGCTGAGGGTTTGAGCGGTCATTTTCTGTATTAATTTCTGTTGGCTTTGTAAAAACTTGAAGGGGTGTAGTCAAGTTCCTTACACTCTTAACAGGAATTTTTCTTTACTCCTGTCTCTTAGTCATCTTGTCAGTAGGCAGCGAGTCATTTATGTCAGCAGGGTTATGGTCACTTGGGGTATCTGGGTTTGTAGCCACCTTCTTTATGTTGCACTCCTACTTCCTAAACTATAAGACCCAAGTCTTTGTTGTTTTATTCCTCCCATTTCATACTTATTTATGTTTTAGTGATATTTGTCTTGTATGGTTAACATGGTCTAGAATAGATTTAGTTAGATTTAGCTAGATTTAGTTTTATTTCCAGTATACTAGCATTTCTATGATGGTCTTGTCTTAGAACCTGATACTAGTAAAGAAGCAATGCCTGCAACAATGCAGGAGTTCTCTTTGCCTGATAAACTGTACAAAAGGCACAGCCTGTTAAAGAATGTGTTTTGTTGTTTGTTTGTTTTTTTCAGGCTTTATAAACGCCTTTACTCATTGCCCTGGAGTTGCCTGTGCTTTGTTTGCTATGCCCCATTTGCTGAGTTGCTTCCCTTTGCATTGACACTATCTTTTCAGAGCAAATAATGTCCCTTCCCGTGCTAGTCCTGCTGCCATTCTCCTCTGAGTTTAGTAGTTTAAATCGCTTCCTTTCCTACAGCTTTCTTCTCTGGGCTGTCGGGCTTCCCACTGCACTGCTATATCTGTAGACAGAGGCTCCCAGCACAAGGACAGGGATCTGTTAGAGTGAGTCCAGAGGAGGGCCACAAAGATGATCAGAGGGCTGGAGCACCTCTTCTATGAAGAAAGGCTGAGAGAGCTGGGGCTGTTCAACGTAAAGAAGAGAAGGCTCCTGGGAGACCTCATTGCAACCTTTCAGCACTTACAGGGGTCTTACAAAAAAAAGATGGAAAAGGACTCTTTACCTGGGTAGATGATGTTAGGACAAGGGGGAATGGTCTCAGACTAAAAGAGGATAGGTTTAGACTAGACCTTAGAAGGAAATTCTTCATTCAGAAGGTTGTGAGGCCCTGGCACAGGCTGCCCAGAGAAGCTGTGGCTGCCCCATCCCTGGAGGTGCTCAAGGCCAGGCTGGATGGGGCTTTGGGCTCTGGGTTTGGTGGGAGGTGTCCCTGCCCATGGCAGGGGGGTTGGAACTGGGTGGGCTTTAAGGTCCCTTCCAACCCAAACCATTCTGTGATCCTATGTTCCAATGGCTTCCTTACCCACTGCATGTAGGCCATATTTTATTCCTTGTTCTCAAGCACAGCCAGCAGGAATGCAGAATAAAGTTCACTGCTTCTCCCCTAACATCCGGTACTTGTCCCAAAATCTGTCAGCAGGGAGGGAGTTAAAGATCAGAATATCATTTTACATCTCAGTTTGTTCAGTCTAAATGTTTTTGACCGTTCCAGGGTGGCTACAGTGCTGGCCAGCAGACATTATGAATCCTAAGGTAGTCAGATACCATCAGAGAAGAAAGTAAATTACTCTAAAGTGTTAAGGGACTTGCAGGCTTTCCCTGTGTGCCTCAGCATGAGCTTAATTTTCCTCTTGCAATAAAACCTTATATCTTGTAAACAAAGAAAGATGTTGAGCTAGAAACTGATGGTCTTTGCCTGTAAATATAAATAAGAATTCATAAGGCCTTTGGCAGCCTTAAAAATTGCCCTAAGTACTTTCCTGAAAATTCTGGTGCTTTTTTTTTCATCGTTTGGATGCTTCTTGGTGGGGGTTATGTTGGCTACAGAGAAAACACCAGAAACTTGTAAAACAGATGGCTTAAAGACAGGCTTAGAGAGCAGGAAAGACTTTCATGCCTATACTTTCTCCTGATTCTTGGAGAGTGCAGTCCCCTGCCCAGCTCCGTGTGACGCCTCAGAGAAATGTCAGAGAGTGGCTTTGCTCCCTGCATCTGAAGGTTTTATTTTGTGGGATGATTCGGTAGGAAGGGTTTGTGTGAACAAAGTTACTGCCTTCTCTGCTGCTGCTCTTTTATCTGGTCTGCTTGTTCTCTTTGAAGGGGCTGTTGGGACTGCTGTTTGTCTAGCCTGCATGAATATATTAAAAGCATGATCTGAATCCTTGCATGCTTGTAATTGTTTAAGTGTAGCATTATATATATATATATATATATGTTTACAATGTATTACACTGTTAACTGTTATTTTTTGTTTTCTCTTTGCAGGGAGTTCAAGAAAAGACTTCTCTATTTAATATGCAGCTGGACTTAACTGCGGCAGTTCCCAGCCTTGTAGTTGCCTTTATCATTGTAGCTAACGGAGATCGCCAGGGACGAAAAAGATCTTTAGTTTTACCATCAGTGGGAGCTTTGATTGCAGATATTTTCCAGACTTTAATATCATATTTTTCCTTGCCACTCTCTGTCCTATTTGCGGCTACGTTTATTTCTGGACTGTTTGGGAGTATGGCAACTTTTCTTGGAGGAGGCTTTGCTTATATAGCGGATTTGTGTCATGACGAGAAGCAGAAAACAACGCGAATAGCTGTGGTTGACTTGATTTTTGGAGTTGTATCTGGATTGGCAGGACTGTCTTCTGGCTACATTTTAAGAGAAATGGGTTTTACGTGGACATTTGGGACGGCATCTCTGCTTCATGTTGTCAATATTATCTATATTATATTTTTTCTGGAAGACACAGTAAGCATATCTGAATCCCAGCAACAAGCACAAGTATCTTTTAAAGAACTTCTAAAAGAAACGTTTTCTGGAGTGTACATGCTTTTTAAAACTGCCCCTTCTAAAAAGAGAATTTTAATAATTGTGTTACTTTTTACATTTATGACTTACTTGTTTACCGTGTTTGGTGGGAGTTCGCTTTTTACACTGTATGAACTGAATGAGCCACTCTGCTGGAATGAAGTATACATCGGATATGGAGCAGCTGCATTCACTTCTGTCTCTCTGACCAGTTTTTTAGGAGTTTACTTTTTTTCAAAATGTCTCAAAGACATTTATATTGTATTTATTGGGATATTTTCTTACATTGGAGGAATAGTCATGGCTGCCTTTGCCAAAACAACACTGCTTATGTTTCTAGGTGAGTTCAGAATCATTCAGTCCATGCTCAAAAACATAAAAGAAAATAGTACTACGTTATCTTTAGCAACTGTTGTTGGTAAATAGTGGATATACCTCCTTGAAAGGATCATAATGAGGTAAAACATACAAGGTTGGGTCATGCCGATTTAGGATTTAATTAAAAAATGAATAGTGTGGAGAGCAAATTACTTGCTTATGCTTTGGGTTTAGTGCCATATAGACATATTGGATTTAGGAATTTACAATTCATTTACCACGTGTCTGTAAAATCCTGGATTTTTATTACTTTTATGTCTCACTACTGATTCATTGCTTTACAGTAAGAGTGCCATCTTTATTCTGCCTTATGCCTGTTCCTGTTCTCCGATCCATGCTGTCAAAAGTGGTTCTCCCCAGTGAACAGGGTGAGTGGAATTTGTTTTAAAATATATATATAATAAAATGGTATTTCAGAACAGAGATGCATCAAGGTTACTTTTAAACAAAAAGATATAGAATTGGTATTTCAAGACTGTGTTTTTTTTCCTTTAAGTTCATATAATATGGCCCTACATCATGATATTAATGGCTTTTGATTTTGAAGTTAATATTAAAAAGTTGCGTTTAAAACTACCTGCAAGTTTCAACCTTGAAAGGAGTTATTGATCTGGAAATAAAGATTATGGAGAACACAAAGCAGAAAAATGTTCAAGATTAATACAGATATTCATTGTAAATGTGACATGTAGAACAGGTTCTACATTCACAAGATTTTTGGCAGAGAAAGATAATATTTTTGTTGTTTTATCAGTGTCACACTTTGTAATTTAGAAAAGTAGGCATTAGGTGGCTAAAAGCAAAGGCCTTTTGGTACTTGTACTTGTCCCAAGGGATATAACATATTACATCCAGAGATACTTTCTGTAGTGGAACACAAAGACACAAAAAAAAAAGCATGTGAGGCCTCAAAATGTGGCTCTCGTGTCTCATATTTTGCTGTGACCAGATTTTGAGGCACACAGACCATCTAGAAGCATTCTTGAGAGCTGTTTGGTTTTATTTTTGAAAAAGCATTTCTTTAGATGCTGAAACAAAGATGTCATTGTACTGAACAATGCTAACATACACTTGGTTTTGCGATTTCTTGGCATTCTTCAGAGCTTTGGATTCTTGAGTAGTTTGATGCAGGGATCAGGTTGCCTCTTGCCACCCTTTTCTGCTTACCTATTGTGATTTTTGTTACAGTCCCATGAACATGAACGCGGCTTGGGAAAATGTGTTTAAAAGTACACTGATGAGTTAGACTGACATCCCAGTGGGTAGTTCAGCACAAAAAAAAATGATCGCTTCTTTCAAAAATGAGAGGGATATGGTTACATGCTGAACCAGCAGTCTTTATTACTTTTCATTCCAAAAAGCCTCTTCCACATATAAGAACAAAAATTAGGAAAGGAGGAAAGAAGGAAGGGGAGAGTGAGAACAGAGAGGTGTACTGGAGCAGGTAAAGGATGGGGCTGTGCAGAAGATGTTGAGTGAGGATGAACAGCTTACGTTTTGTGTGATAAGTAGATTCTGTAGAGTAGGTGTGGTGACAGGATAGCAGCAAATAATAGTTTTCACTAGCAAAACTTTTTAATTTTCATTTAAAGAGTCTTTTGTAGGAGTCCCCATGGAAGACACTTCCATAGCAAAGACATGTTATACATAATATATCATATTATATAGGTGCTTGTTACTTGCAAACTTGCTAAAATATTGCAACTAGAGAGATCTTTTGAAACAAGTTTTAAAACTGTAGTACTTTGAAAGGGTTTCTGTGTTAATTTGTTCTGTTTGTAACCCATTCATTTGTTTTTGGCAGGTGCTGTGTTTGCTTGTATTGCCTGTTTAGAAGTTGTGACCGGCACTATTTCCCTTTTAGTTTTTAATGTTCTCTATGCAGCTACCGTTGCATGGTTTTCAGGCTTTAGCTTCCTCTTCTCAGCAGGCTTTTGTCTAATTCCACTGGGTGCACTGTGGTGAGTACATGGCAGGAGGGTCCTTCTGGCTGCTTTTACTAGTGATTTCTGTTTTGACGTGAGTTGAAGCTGAATGGCTTAATGCATTCTCAAACTTCACTATTTTCTAATGTACTGAATGTAATTTGTGTAGTCTTCCCTGTGGTTTCCACACAATTATATATAGCTTATATACATCAGGCCTATGAAAGGTGCTCTGAGACTTGTGTGAAGGATGCTGCTTGGAGTGAGGCAGAGCTGAGACTAGGATAAGATGTCTTCTACTGGGGGGACAGGACAGGACAGGAGGGAGGGAGCCCCAGCTGTGGAGAGGTGTTTTGTCTCATGAAGCTTGTGATTGCTTCTCCAAGAGCTGCTGCCAGTTGCTGTAGTTCCTGCTGCTTCTCTCTTCAACACCTACCCTCCAACACCTTGCTAGAGATTTCCCACAGTCAGTCCAGTTCGAGCCCTGATCCAGCTAGCTAGCTCCTCACAAATTCATGCTGTGAATTTGTCTCCTAATTCCCCCAAACTGAAATCTGTCCTGAATTCACTATGAGAAGGATATTCTGTACCCCTGACTGCATGTGTGTGCCTTCCGTTGGTTTGAGACTTACGCATGCCTTCCACACAGAACTGAAGTAACAGGTCGGTGTAAGGCCACGAGCGTAGTTTTGCAGCCCTTGTAGGTGCTAGTGGGGTTTATAAATATGATCAAACACCCAGTAAATTCAATGGAAAGCTATCTTTCCATGTCATTGGTCATGGATACATTGTGACTCAGAGCCACTGAAACCTGTAAAAGGTCTGCACTAACTTTAAGCCCCATGTGAATAAACCTCTAGACGTGTTTAAAAATACTACTCTATAGTACTTGCATATAATTGTATTTAATGACCATCTAGTCAGTGAAAGATCATTTTTCATGAGTATTCACAAAAGCTGAGTTCACTTTACATTATTTGAGTATAAATTATGTCTTTTTAGGATGCTGGAACATAGATCTAAATGGCAAAAGGATCACTTCATTAAATAGATTTATATTCAGAAAAAGAAAAAAGGTTTTTATCTTAAGAGGATAGTACTTCTGCTGGAGAATTGTATCTGCAGCAGAAGCGTTTACCTTGCAGAAACATCTTGTTTAGCCTTTGCCTCAATCACCTTTTATCTCTACATCAGCTGCGTTTTCAGTTTTGCATGGGCAGTGATTGTGCTGTAAATTTGGCACAATTCACATACTTTCAAAACTGTGCCTGCCTGACCACAGTATTTTACTCAGTTTATTCAGAGAAGTTGCACAAATGGCATCTCAGAAGAAGACTAAGATAGTGGTGGATCTCAGACCTTATGGAACTGAAGGAAAGAGGCCTTGGGCTGCAAGTAGAGAATACTTTTTAGTAAGGTAATAAAAGTAGAGGAGTTCAGTTTTATGGCTGTAAGTGTTTTTGTGTTATGAAATATTAGTTTAGTTCAGTGCTGCATGGTATAAAAAAGTTTCTGTTAAATCAGTGTTCTCTCCTGAGAATGTCCTGAGCAAAAGTTAACAACTGCTTACTATGAAATCACACCATCCTGCAATGAAAACTAGTCCATCATCATCATAAATTTAGGAAAGCTATTAATCTTTTTCTTCCATCATTATTGTCTCAAATATCCCACCCTTTCAATAACCTCTCTCTAAAACCTTTCTTAGTGTGTCAGGTAATCTTACTGTTTGAGAGCAGGAATGGTATTAGTTCCAGTCTGTAATAAATAAGGCCTGGTAGTTTAGTGCTTTTCACAGACAGCAGAGATGATTTCACCTACTTTGAGTAATAAGGGGGAAGAAATGTCATTGCTTTTGTTTACTAAGATATGTCAGCTGCTTTGTGCTGCAGAAGATGGCTGTAACAGAACTATCGGGTGTGTTTGTTGCTGAATAAGCACGCTATACTGAAGTATCTCAGCTAAAGATATCTGTCTTATCTGTGTCTTGCAGCTGGCTTCTGTGCACAAGCTGGAATGGGGAGGACTTGGCTCTGCTTGTACCTGACGAAGTATCCAGCATAGACAGTGTTGATAGTTGAACAAAGGATTCAGCTACCTGACTTTTATCTGACGTGCAGTGGCAGAGACCACATGTCTTACCGAGACCACAGAGATAACACACAAGTTGCAGATGAAATCTACAACTAGCACTGAATTGGTAGCACTCTATATCCAGTCTCTTTTTAGCACTTAGATAAAACAATCTCCTGTACCTAACTATGCAAGTAGGCTGGCAATGGAGATTTTCATGCTGCTTTCAGCATGGAGAAAAAGTAAGGTAGGATGACACTCTTTCGCCACTTACCCATTCTCAAGTTTGAAAATGTCAGCTGGGGATTGTGATACATCTTGTATCGTTCTAAGTGGGGTGACAGAGATAAGTTTATCAGCCCCTTTCCCAGAGGGTGTTGGCAATTCTCCTGAAGCCGCTGGAGCTCATGCCAGCTGTGCGTGCAGCCCACTGTGTACATCTGAAAAGGTCTGTCTTAACTGGGGAAGCCCACAAAACTGTCTAAAATTACTAAACCTAAAGGTACTTTTTGTTTTCTTTCCGAAAAACTGGAAGCAATACTTGTACCTGCTGTAAGGAGACTGCTCTGCAGTTAGCAAAGAATGTTTGTGCAAGTTTAATGTATGATGTGTGGACCTCGCCTGTGACTTAGTTCTTGAAATAGATTTTCACGCAGAACAGCCATACTTAGAAAATTTCCAGCTTGCAGAGTGTGAAGTTAGGCCTATGCCTACATTTTACAGAGGCCATATTGCACATTTATTTTTACATTATAAATTTCTCATTGTTTTTTATATATTAGGGACTACATACAGACAAGTCTATTTTTTTGTCCCATAGATGTCTTCCAGCTAAGCTGGCTTTAATGAAGTTGTTTTTTTGTTTGTTTGTTTTTTTAGTGAAACGCTGTAATAGAATTATTTTCAGAAGATCTTTTATTATTTTTTTAATAATTAAAAAAAAAATCTGGACCACATATCTAAGCATTTGCAATGAATGCAATAATTTATTAGCATTTGAATAGCATTTCTTATCTCCCAATCGCTTTACAAATGCTATTGTGAACCTCCCTCCACAATAGATACTATCCTCCCTGTTTCAGAGACAGAGAAATCGACAGAGCCACAGGGCCACAGTGCAAATCGGTGAGAGTGCTAACCCTAGAAATCAATCTCTGTGTTGATTCTTCAGCTTTTTGTTTGAGTTCTATATGTAGAAACTAGCCGGAGCGTTAGCTTCTGGAATGCACAGCACAGCAGAAGTGTGAATGTAAACACCATGTTGAAGACCACAGCCATGTATTGTTTTCAGACTGAGTTTTACAGACAATGTTGTCCTCATCCCTGAAAGTACAGGTAGGTAGTATGTGACTTTCTACTCCTACAAACAATTAGATAGAAAAATCAAAAGAACAGTAAGTGGTTGACATTTACAGGTGGAAAATTCTAGGAAAACAACTGTGATATGGGAACTGACTTTGCTTGCACAGTGTGTGATAAAAATGAAGACAGCCATGAGGATGTAGCATATGCTGTATGATCAAAGATCTACTTACAGCCATTAATACTTGTCCCATCAACAGAGTACTTCTCAGAGGTACTCCAACAACAAATATTAGCACGTCATCATGATGATGCTATTGCAGATCCTTTCTGTTTGAACAATATTGTTTCCATACTGCACATCTTGATCACTGAGATGTTTGCAAGAGGGGTCAAATAAGGTAAATGAGAGTTTATATTATCCATGAAATTGTAGAATGGCTTAGGTTGGAAGGAGCCTTAAAGGCCACTCAGTCCTAACCCCTTGCCATGGGCAGGGACACCTCCCACCACACCAGGTTGCCCAAAGCCCCATCCAGCCTGGCCTTGAGCACCTCCAGGGATGGGGCATCCACAGCTTCTCTGGGCAGCCTGTGCCAGGGCCTCACCACCTGAATCCAGGGGAATGCTATTAAACATAGCCTGCCTTTACATTTCTGTCCTTATGGACCAAGGCTGATGTTGCCAATTTAAGTTCATTAGCTTTTTCTAGCTACTTTATATACTAGCCAGTAAATAAAACTGATGAACTCTCTTCTCCTGAGGTGTCTGAGTTGCTGACAAGTTGCTGAAATGAGCTGTGTTTTAGAATAATCACTGGGTCCAAAACACTGCAAGTAATTGGAAAGAGTTTAAGAATACACTCATGTAAGGGATTTCAGCACAAAGACTACATTGTCATCCTTTCCTCTTCATTATGCAGTTTTGTAAGACTTCATGAAATTAACTATTTTGCACAAAATGCCTGGAAAAAGTAAAAACAAGTGAAAAGGGTATATGCCCTCACTTCTTCAACGCAGACCTCTGCCAGCACTCTACAGGTAGCAACAAAGTAAGCCAGTTCCACAGCAGCATTCAGTTTGAGGACGAGAAGGTGCACGTGCACTTTGGGAATGGCTTTGGTAAGGTTTGATTTTGCTGTATCAAGTATTGGCTGTTTGCAGAGTATTTCTGGTGGACACAGAATGTGAGTTCAGATCAAAGCACATCAATACAAATTGTGTTTTTAAAGTGTATGGTACAAGCTAAGGAAATTAGGTACTAATGTGCTTCATATTATTAAATCAAAATCCTCCACGTTTGTTGTAGTTGTTTTATTTCTATACAAATGCAATGATTTAGACAAATTAATAGCAAAATTTGGTCTTTTGAACTGTGTTGTATGTAGTTCTTGATACGGCTTTTGACAAATGCCCAACAGGAGGACAGGTGGGGTACTGTTATGTGAACAGAAGCAGCAGCACTATGGCATCGTCTATTTTTGCAGTGATAACAAGCAAACAGTGGTGCAGGAAGACGTGCTTCTGCTTTCCTTCAGTGCTGGGGAGAGGCAAGGCTGCTGCCGAGAACATCAGCACTGATAGGAGGTGGGGAACTGCAGAGCAGGGACAACATTGCTGCCTGCAAGAAGTCAGGTTCAGGACATGGGTAGGAAACTTGCGGCAGCTTTAAGCTTACTGTAAAGTACTTAGCCTCAGCCCTGTTTGACTCCCATTACTTTAACAGCATACCACATAAATTCTTGATGTGCCTCTTAAATAGACCATTTGCTTTCCAGCCTGGCTAACCCTTAAAAGTGGCTTCCTTCAGGCATGATGAACAATGAAATTTCCTTGCTCTGAATATGGCTCGATCTCACTGAAGATAAAGTATACTAAACCTTGAACAAAACCACCTAGAAATTAAGGCAGGCTTCCTAATATGTCCACTCTGCTTTCACTAATAAGAATCTCTAATAAATTACTTGTCTTAATGTAGTTTTGCTCAGGTGCAACAGCATCCAGCTTTCAACCTGCACCAGGAAAGGCTGACCAGCTACATAAGCAGAGGCAGGAAGTTTAGAAAGTAGCAGTCCTTGAACAACTGGGCCAACTGTTTTCTGCACACCCATTCCTGGAACAGTGCCGGTAGGAAGGCAGACCTGAAAATCCTCCTACGGTATCTTAGATCATCCCAGACCTGCCTAGGTAATCTCTTAGCCTTTCTGGCCTGACCCAGTTTGCTTTACAACAGCTTACTCTTGCTTTATACATAATTGCCAAGAAACTCAAGCCATTTATAAATTAGCAGCCAATCCCACTAGCCAATGAAGTATACCAGTTCACAGAAAGAACAGCAACATAAGATAGTGAGTAGGTTTGTCCTTTAAATTTATTCGTCCCATTGTTTAAGTTCACTGAGGCAAAAAACACAAGTCTTAATTTGTATTTCATAGCAAAAACCTCTAATCTCTCCAACTCTCAATAGGCAATTTTCACTCTTAAATGAATACATATAAAGTAAATAAAACATCCAGTAAAGTACCTTGTGTCATCTCAGTTTTTAACTTGAAATGTTTTGCAATAAATACGCAAAAAAAGCACTGCAAAATCTGCAGGGGGGAAAAGCTAGAAGCTTTGGTGCACATGGGTATGGAGCTTGTGGCAGCTTTAAGCATACCAAAAAGCACAAGAGATGTTTTGAGATTTTGGGATTGTGAAAGGAGGTTTACAGCAACATCTCTGCTAACACGATCTACAACAGGATACTAAGTACACTTACCACTCTTCCTAAGAATAATCAAAATCTGCTGGATAAACACATTGTTTCAGGCTCCCTGTAGATGACAAGAGACTAGTCCTTTTGAACCAGAAACTTTTTCCCCCCCCATTAAAAAAAAACAAAGGGATCACCAGTGCATAGTATTAGATAACATCTGAAATAATATAGGAAAATCTGGAAAAGATGAAATAGTATTTAAAATCCTGATCTGTAAAATCCTATAAGCTGCCTTACAGATTTATGATGCATGTGTGCATATATGACATCAGAATTGTCACAACCTTAAGGACAACACCCCCACAAGCACACAAACACCCTTCAATGGCCCACTCCTTGTTAAGAAGTTTAAGTACAAGTCTTTCCTTCCCCCTTTATTAAGGCCTGATTTTGGTAAACCTTCAACATTGTCTGATCTAGTACCCATGTCTTCACATTCTTGCTGCAGCAGCTTTGTAAGGTACTGTCACAAGGAAGCAGCATTCTTTATTTCTGAACACTGACATACCAGATATAGCTGTGCTCTTTTTGATTATGTACCCAAATGGATTTTAAAACACTTTTTTAAACTCCAAGTGGAACTTACTTCTAGTTTCAGAAACCTGAATATCCTCTCAGAAACAGGTTAAAAACAACCCAGACCTTTAACTCCCTTCATACAGCAATACTCCCAATTCTGCACAACACTTCAATGACTCACTCATCAACTGTCACCTTAACAGGAGGGAGAAGATGTTACGTAGCAGGATTCCACCGGCAGAGCAGAAGTTAAAGACCTTTAAAGTAGCGACAAGAAAAACGAACAACACTGTGTTGCAGACAAGAGATTTTTGATTTGCAAGTAATTATATTTTGGAACACAACAGTATTTATAGCAAACCTTTATTCAATACTTTAAAAAAGTGTATGGAAGTTTTCATGAACAAAGAGTTACTCAATGGAAAACACCTTTTTTCCCCTTAAAAAGTTCTTCTGCAAGAACATCCATTAAATGCATTTACCTACAATAACCAGTTTTAAAATGCATGGGTATTTCTGGATTTCTTGTATACACAGATAGGATTTCCATAGTTAAGCTATTGTCCTGAGCAGTGTATGAAGAGACATCATTTAAACTATTTAGTTACAGAACATTTATATAATTGACAACAAGCACAGAACAATTTATAGACTTTAAACATTTAATGTGCCTCTTCGTCAAGGAAGGCAAGTGATACCTGTATGACTGCTTAACACTGAGTGTCAATTTAGTAATCGTGTATTTAGATCTGCAGTATAAAGACATGCACAAAACGTTTGAGGAGTAGATTTTGTTACAATAAACCAAGCTTGTATTCCATCATCATGTGTGGCTCTCCCATAACCTCACTCTGTGAAGGATCTGAAAAAAAAGTAAACAGCATTAGGCTTTTACTTTGCCACAAAGACCAACAGGAACTACAAAGATAACCATATTCAATTTTGGAATTTTTTTTTATTGTAATGGTTAGTGCAAAAATTATTTGACTGATTCTTGACAGTGCTGTGTAGTGCAGGTCTGTCTAACTCATACGCCTCTGTCCAAAGCAATAATCAGATAACCAACGCACCTTCAGTGGAAGACGGGCAAGAGTGTTTTGTGAAGGGGTAGGGGAGAGAACAATTCAAGTAAAACCAAACATGATTAGACACAAAACTCAGCCTGAAGGTTCAAGCTATAGGAGATTGTGCTTATATAATAAAAAGCAACTCTGGCCAAAGCTCTTCCTCAAGTGCCATACATTTTTTCCATGCAACTTCTCTGGGGTCTAGGACAGTAGGAGCTCACACTCCAGCCCTTCTGCTAGTTGGGACATACTTGTGGTTTCTCTTCTCCTGTCAACTGCCTTTTTTTCCACAAAAATTTTATGTCCTTAAGTATCTTTGAGATCTCCACTCTATGAGGTATGGTTCATATTAGCCAGTATATTCAAAGGTTAACAGGCAACATGCAGATGACACACGACATGCCAATTACTGACAGTATGAACTTCATTTCCATATGAAAGCCAAGGCCAAAAATAAAAAAAAGGTTGCAAGCAAATCTTGAAAGAAAAGTATCTTTCTTTGCAAGTGTACTTAACTATTTTTATTCCCCCATAACTAAGGTATCTTAACACCTTTCTGATGTTCATCCAGAGACACCAAAATTACCTAATATAGCTCCATGTGATAAATATAGCCTTATTGTAAACAATTTTAACTAACCACTCACTCCATAGCACTCTATAAAACATGCAACAGCTTGTTACAAGCTGTGGCAAATACCAAGCAATTTATAGGAGCTTGGTCATCGCTCCACCCCCTGAACCACAATCACCTGAGATTCCTTCCCCTGCTCCCTGTAAATCCATCCCAGAAAATAACATCACATTTACCCCATGTGTCTAGATTCCCACTTGCTCCTTCATTATTCCCAGTTTCCTATATCCCTGTCTTTTTCCATTCTCCAATCCCACCACCTCAAAACACCCTCTGCTTCATCTTACGTCCTTAAGTGCTGAATAGACAGAAGTCAAAGTCACTTTTTTACCCCTTTAAACTATTTTCCCTGGCTTATTCTATTTCACACGTACTGTCAGTCAGTAGCACATCATACAGCTTTTAGCTGTTGAATTAGTATGCAGTGGTAGGAGTTCCATTAGTTCAGTATCTCTTCTTATATCTCTTTCTTTCTAATAATTTAACTTATAAAAGCTTTGTATCTTCGTAACCTCTGCCTGACAAAATTTACATAAGTAGTTCAAAAATTTCTGGGGAAACAGGCATAAAATGTAAGCTACGCATTACAATACATAGTCTTCTACTCCTTAATAAAGCCAGCCCAAAAGCAAACAGATTTATTCTGTATTTCAGAATAATTTCCACACAGGTAGCAGCTGAACTACATCTATTCCTCCTTTCCCTGGTGCTTCTTTACCTCTGGGAATTCAATTTTTATTTGCATTTTGCATGTTTAAAAGTTCTTATAACCTAGAGGCAAAGAACTTCACAGTTCCCAAATTTTGCCTTTAAATGTTTCTATAACATTAAAGCAAAGTATTTACCATTAAGAATATCCTCAAAACCAATGCATTCATCATTTCCCCTCAGAGTATCCACCGCCATGTTTGAGCTGTGAAGAAAGGGGAGACGCTGGGCCTGTAGAAAGACATCAAGAGTTAAAGTTTTTGCAAAACTGAAATTGAGATTTTTCAATTTCTGCCTGAAGTGACTGAGAAAAGAGACAGTCACCTCTTTGTCTGACCACAATGATGAAATAAGAACTACTGGCACACATTAATATCAAAACCTATCCACCATCACCATCTTGTGTTTTTATCACTATTTTGAAAACAGCCTTTTACGTCATTTGTAGATTTCACTGCAGTGCAGCTACTCGTAGTCAAAAAAAAGTTGGTTCTGTCCCCTTCCTTGATCTGTTCCCACATAGCTGGCAAGAGTCTCTGCAACACATCTACAGCCTGGAGTCAGTTCTGGAAACTGACCTTGCAATGTTTGGAAACCACATTCTAAGTTTCCTGCGTCTGACAAGTCAGAAACACAATGAAAGAGCTATACCAATTTTCATACCTAATAATAATCCTCCTTACAATTAAACTAAATCTATTTCTCAGATCCCCTACAGTTTTTAAGCTTTAAGTCCACTTCCTGTTACTTTCAAGCCTATTTTCTGTGCCTTTCACTTACGGTATTACAACAAAATCAAGTGGTTACATACAACATTCAGACTAAGTCTTCAGAGAATGGCTTACATCTGTCCTCACAACTGCATTCACTACTAGTAGTACAACTAAAAATGAGACCTCAGTTATACCAGGAATACATTTTACAAACAGAAGTATCACATAACTATCTCTTTATACACGAAATATCAAGATTTCCATAATACCCAATAGTACAGTTGTCAGAAGTTCAAATACACATGCTATTTATTCCCTTAAATTTTAGCTGAAAGGTGGAATTACACCAAAAGGGAACTTCAATATCTGACATGATACACAAAAGCCAACCATGAACAGTCTTCTAACCACCATATTGCCTCCCATCATCCCCAGAAACACCCATGGAGACACTTTCAGAATCCTTGTCCTCACCTGTCTCATTTTCTACCACATGCTAACATCAATTAGAAAAAGATGTTTCCTCACAAGAGAGCAATGTTGAGATCAAGGATGTTTTCTTACATTCTGTTTGCCTTTTGCATCTTCAGGACAAGAAGTTTCTACCAAGTTTCATGTCACTCACTGCGGTTCAGCAGCAACTGATCCGCAGGAAGGAAGTATAAAATTAGTTCCAGTCACTTAGAGAAACAACTCATAATAGCTTGACTACCTTCAACAAGCCCAAAAAAAAAGTTCACTAGGACCACTGAGATCTCTGTGTATCCTAAGGGACAAAATCAGCTACCATCCACTTACTCTCCAACCTATGAAATAAGAAGGAAGAGGAGGCAGCCCCAGCTTCCCAATTAAAAGTTAAAACCTGTGAACTTATCTCTCTGTAGACCTTCCCTGATCTTACAAGAACAGCTTCAGAATAATAATGACAAGTTTTCTGCTTCAGTTTGCACATAACCTCTATATCCACTCTCATATCACTACCTGCTTCAGACCCTTAAGGTCTCCTTTCTCTACAGATGCAGAGATCCCTTCCTATGAAGGTCTCATGCTCAACACAGGGGAGTACTAATACGAGAATTAATACTCAATTCCTCCTGCTTTTCTCTGAAGGCTTACAGGAAGCT